TTTTTTTAATCTCCTGAAATCAAGAAAAGCAAAACAAAGTTCTGTAGAATATTCCTTTCCATTCTTAACAGGAATGTGACCAGGTGCACAGCATCAAAAGAACAAATAACAGTAAGGACTACAGACATGATGCTGGGCTCCTGCTTCGGGGCAGGGTGGTGAAGGTCAGGGCGGCCCAGGCTACTACCAGCCACAACTGCAGAGCCTAACGAATCACACAAGCCGTTCTCCAAGGGTGTCCACGAGCCACGACGGTGACTGTATCGGATGGACGGGACGCCCGTGCAGAGAACCACACAGAGGTGAGCTGCCAAGGGGCACCAGCGTTTCTCAGAAGCATTGCAAATCCTGGTCAGAGCAAGGCTGCTCACTGGCAGTGGGGGCTGAAAGAGCAGATCTAGGCCGGCTGACTAGTGACTATGTCCCCGACATGGCCGCAGAAAGAAGTTCCTGCTCAAACCTCAGAACACGCCTCCTCCCCTTAAGTAACCTACCGATTGATGCGTTCTTCCGAAGTCTGAGGTGGGAGGAAGGGGAGTGTGAGAGGCGTGGAAAGCGTGAGTAGAAGAGGGAGGGCTTCTCTCAGGTAGGGGCCAGAGGCAGGAGCCCTCAACCCTGTCCAGGCTTAGAATGACCTGGGAGCATTTTACCCCTCCCCAAACCAATTAATCAGAGTCTCTGGGGATGGTGTTTGGTGCTAGGTATTTATAGCACAGCAAGGCGGACAGCCAATGGTTAATAGGTGACCAGTGAGAAACGTTCTGTATACACTGAGGCCAAACATGTTAGAGATCCTCAGACCCAGTGGTTCTTAAATTTCAGGTGCATCAGAATCTCTTGGAAGACTTGTTCAAACACAGATTGCTGAGCCCCACCCCCAGAGTTTCTGATTCAGTGGGTCTGTAACCACCAGGCCCAACATGTGCATCTTTAACAAGATCCAGCTGATGCTGATAATTGCTGATCTGGGACCACACTTTAGCAGCCAATCGGCTGAGTCCACGACCCTTCCCCAGCCAATCGGCTAAGGCCATGATCCCTATAAAACCTTTTGTGCTTTTTGAAACTCGCTCTCTCCCTCTCTGGTATCTCACCGCTGTGTTGGTTCAGGTAGGGGATTGAGCTCGAGCTAGCTCGAATAAAGCCTCTTTGCCTTTGCATCGGACTCGGCTCCCTGGTGGTCTTTGGGGATCACGAATTCTGGGCATAACAGGGGCCACACACGGCCACTCTCCAGCTGCTCCAGCCTGCGACTCCCACCGAGGCTGGGCCAGCCGGTGGCTGAGTCAAGACTTTCGGGCCCTGGAGCCTCTGCAGGGATGTAGGCAACAGCAGGCCGCTGGTGCTCCCATGCTACTACAGACACAGAGAGCAGAGACCTTCACCCCCAAAATACCAGGAAACAGAATCTAGCAATCTATGTAAAGAATAGCACACTATGCCCAAGTTGGATTTATTTCAGAAATGAAATGTTAGCTTAACATCTGAAAATTTACTATATTAACAGGAAAAAAAAGGACATCCTATAATTATCTTCAAGAGCACTGATAAAATTCAACAACCATTTGTTATTTTTTTAAAAAGAAAAATTCTTTAAAAAAAATTTTTTTTTAGGGGCGCCTGGGTGGCACAGTCGGTGAAGCGTCCGACTTCAGCCAGGTCACGAACCCGCGGTCCGGGAGTTCGAGCCCCGCGTCAGGCTCTGGGCTGATGGCTCAGAGCCTGGAGCCTGTTTCCGATTCTGTGTCTCCCTCTCTCTCTGCCCCTCCCCCGTTCATGCTCTGTCTCTCTCTGTCCCAAAAATAAAAAAAATAAATGTTGAAAAAAAAATTTTTTTTTAATTTTTTTTTAGTGTTTATTTATTTTTGAGAAAGAGGGAGAGAGACAGAGTACGAGCTGGGGAAGGGCAGAGAGGGAGACACAGAATCCAAAGAAGGCTCCAGGCTCCTAGCTGTTAGCACAGAGCCTGACTCGGGGCTTGAATTCACAAACCATGAGGTGAGATCATGACCCCAGCTGAAGTTGGACGCTCAACCGGCTGAGCCACCCAGGTGCCCCAAAAAGTAAAATTCTTAAATCTGACCAAGAGTATCTACAAAAATACTACAGCAAATTTCGTACTTAGAGGTGATATGTTAGAAGGCTACCCCTGAGCTACTGACTGAGCCACCCAGGTGCCCCCATAGAGAACTTTTAAAGCTTAACAGTATGAAAAGAAACAATCCAATTTTTTCAATGGACAAAAGACCTGAACAGACACCTCATAACGAAAATACGCAAATGGGAGATGAGCATAAGAAGAGATGGTCAACACCATACGTCACTAGGGAACTGCAAATTAAAACAACACTGAGACTCCACTGCACACCTTTTAGAACCGCCAGATCCAGGACTCTGACCCCACCACATGCTGACCAGGACGCAGAGCGACAGGAACCCCCCCCCCCCGTCACAGCTGGCGGGAACGCAGGATCACAGGTGCGGCCGCTTTGGGAGATGGTTTGTCAGTTTCTTACAAAACTAAACATACTCTTACTGTCTGATTCAGAAATCACACTCCTTGGTATATGCTCAACGGTGTTGAAAACTTCCGTCCACACGAAAACTTGCATGTGGATGTGTAGAGCAGATTTATTCCTAATTCCCCAAACTTGGAAGCAACCAAGATGTCCTTAGCAGGTGATGGACAAATAAACTCTGGTGCATCCGGACCGCGGAATATTATTCAGCAGTAAAAAGACATGAGCCCTCCAGCGTAGACCTGGAGAAACCTTAAATGTGTATTACTAAGTGAAAGAAGCCAGTCTGCAAAGACTAGACACTGCACGACTCCAAGTCTATGACTTTCTGGAAAAGGCAAAACGACAGAGTGAGTAGAGATGGGTGGTTGCCAGGCTTGGAAGGAGGGTAGGAGGGCTTGATATGTGATACACAGGGGATGTTCAGGTTGTGAAACTACTCGGTGTGATACAGTAAGGGTGGACATATGTCATCACACGTTTGTCAAGACCCACACAATGTGCAACCCAGAGAACGAGCCTTAAAGTAAACCATGGATTTTTGTTAATGATAATGTACTGATTATTGGTTCGATTTTAACAGTGTATCAGACAGTAATGTAAAATGCAAATAATAGGGGAAATTAGATTTCTAAATACCAGCAACAAGCAAATAGAAGTTTTAAAAACAATACCATTAAAGAACATCAAATAGCAAAAATGTGTACGACCCTTACGGTGAAAACCACAACGTGATACTGAAAAAGGATACCCCGATACGTACAACTAGACCCCACCGGAATGTATGGAAGTTACACTAAGAATGTCCGGAACTTCTGCCTCCAACCAACAAGGGGTAACTGATGCAACACTTGCTCTTCAATCAGAAATAATTAAAAAATGGCCCCAATACACTGTTCGGCATTGGGTCTACGGTAGCCAGGGATGGTGCTTCCCGACAGGAGAGAAACAAGACAGCTGGGTCCTGCCGTCCTCCCGGACCAGGAGCCGCTTCCGGATCCCAGCACTGCAAGAAGGAGCCTACACAGAACAGGTGGTGTTGCTAAATTAAGAAGACAGAGATTAGAACTGAGGGAAGACAGGTCGGCTCAAATTTGTGGGGGAAAGTCCTGGAGAGGAGGGAGCGATGCACAGAAAGAACTACAAACATCTCCGTGGAGTTTCACTGAGTCCACTTAAAAGTAATACAAACAGGGGCACCTGGGTGGCTCAGTCGGTTAAGCGTCCGACTTCAGCTCAGGTCACGATCTCGAGGTCCGTGAGTTCGAGCCCCGCGTCGGGCTCTGGGCTGACGGCTCAGAGCCTGGAGCCTGCTTCCGATTCTGTGTCTCCCTCTCTCTCTGTCCCTCCCCCGTTCATGCTCTGTCTCTCTCTGTCTCAAAAATAAATAAACGTTAAAAAAAAAAAAAAAAGGAATACAAACAAATGACTTCTGAATAACGAATGTACTCACATGGTGCTACAACGAACAGAATCACAAAATAATGTGGAGAGAAACTAAACGAGCCCCAAATATACGGGATTATATACTATTTTCTTAAACGGAATGATTTAATATTGTTAAGATGTCAGTTCTCCACAAAGTTTCTATAGATCCAACACCATTCCAATAAGAATCCCAGCATGTTGTGGGTTCTTTTGCAGAAACTGAATTACATACTGAAAAATATAAAAGGGCATTAGTGTCGGTGGAAACCCTGCTCCCCCTAGGCTATCTGCACTCTTAACAGTTTCTTATGACTCTTCTTTTGTGTTTCTTCAGGTCTGTACGTATAAAGCAAATACAAATACACATTACTTCCCCTCTCGTTTTACACAAAAGGCAGCACACTCTATGCTGTTCTTGACCTCACTTCTTTCCAGGGAATGCTGTATCTTGGAGATCACTTCCCGTTTCCACACAGAGTACATCCTCTGTTTTCAAAGCCACTTTCACACCCCGCTGGTCAGCAGCACAGCACAGTGAACCGCGGGTTAAGGGCCAGAAGGCATTTCCCAGTGCAGCCATCACCCCGAGAACTGAGGAGGGGCACCTGCTGATGACAATGAGCCGGTCCAGAAGGGCCATTCCCCACCTGTGCTCACAGGGTCCCCAACCAGCCACCTGCGCTCCTGCTCTGTGAAAGAAGCCTAAGGCAAGGGCAGCGGGCCAGTATTTACGAGGGCAAAGATATACCCCTCCAAGGGAAAAAGCAAGATACGGGCAGAGGAAAATGTTCTTACTTTTGAATTTATTTTAATATGCTTCTAGAACTCAATTATTAACGGAAAATTATGACCGTCTCTGCTTCTTGCCTAAATACGGGGGAACGACAATGTTATTATCTCTGTTAGATTTTGAAAAGAACATGTACCAATGAGTTTCTCTTTCTGGTGTTGTTTCTGTTCTGCGATAAGGGGCTAAACGCACATTAAGTCTCTGTAGCCAGGTCCCTCCTAACAAAGCCTTATGCGTTAGACGTGAAAAGCTCACTCACTTACCAATGTCATCGAGGAGGATATTCTCAGGCTTTAAGTCTCTACAAAGGAAGGGACAACAACAAAAAGCTCAGTTATTCACAAGGCGACACTGTGACTCCTCAGCACCCAGCAGAAATGACCACAGATGTCTCTACTCTGAGCAGCAGCAAGAACGGGAGATGACAAGACCACCCTCTGTGGGTCAGCTCATGAGCCCTTCACGCTGTCGCCGGGAAGGACGAGGACCCCACAGAGGCTTCATCTTGGCCAACACCATGCATGTGCCAGCGGTGTGCGAACCGCTCTGCACAGGCCCGCGGATCTAATGGAAGGTCAGCAAGGAATTAGTCCATAATAAACTTGGCTGTTTCTCTTATCATTAACGTACTTTTTAAAACGTCAACAAGTGAAAATCCCCCGTACCGGAAGAACTCAGCTCTGGGGGTCAGACAGGCACGGTCTGCCACTTCTCCACTGCGTGGCCTTAACCGCCCTAGGTCTCGGTGTCCTCCCCTCACAGCGCCATCCACACCCACCCGCTTCCCGGCAAGGCAGGGTTGGGGAGCTCAGGCCTTGCAGCGGGAAGCAGGTAACCAACAGCAGTGACTGTTATTGGTAGTTCGTTGTGAAGGGGAGGTGGGGAATACCACAAACTTTGAATAAATATAGATCACGAAAGACTAAGATATCTTAAAAGTAATATTTCAAGCTGCTGCTTGTTTGTTTCTTCCCTTAGAGAGAAAAAATTTTCTTTTTCTTTTTTTTTTAAATTTTTAAATTTTTTTTTTAATTTATGTTTGACAAAGAGAGAAGGAGCAACAGAGCATGAATAAGCCAGGGGCAGAGAGAGGGAGACACAGAATCGGAAGCAGGCTCCAGGCTGTGAGCTGTCAGCACGGAGCCCGACGTGGGGCTCAAACTCACAGACCACGAGATCATGATCTGAGCCGAAGTCGGGTGCTCAACCAACTGAGCCACCCAGGAGCCCCCAAAATTTTATTTTTCAAAGGATTTACATTTAACTCTGATTTCCAGTATGGCCCTATCACAACACTGTGTGCCCTGAGCATCACCCCTGATCTGTGGCCAAATGACTAGAACCTACAGAGGAGGCAGAAGCAGCAGGACAGATGGACAGACAGTAAGCTAGTGAGAGCAATGGTGGCTGGAAGCGGCTGGCCTCCAGAAAGCTCTGTAGAGAGAGGCCCCGCAGAACCAGGAGCAGCTGAAGTGAGAGCACTGCCCACAAGGCCCACAGGCTGCACTTCCTGTAAAACCTGCTCAGGCCAACTCCCACAGCCCTGGGAAAGGAGAGAGGTTACCTGGTTCCAAGCCCAGGGAGAGAAGAAGCTGCAGAGAAACATTTCCTGTAGCAACACCCAGGCCACTGTGGTAACGGTCTCCCTGGGGACAGAGACCAGTGGCAGAGGCGTGGGGGCCTTCTGTGTTTGCATTTTCTTTTCTTTTTTTATTTAAAACAAAAAAAATTTTTTTAATGTTTATTTATTTCTGAGACAGGGAGAGACAGAGCATGAGTGGGGGAGGGGCAGAGGGGAAGGAAGACACAGAATCGGAAGCAGGCTCCAGGCTCTGAGCTGTCAGCACAGAGCCCGACGCGGGGCTCGAACTCACAGACCGCAAGAACGTGACCTGAGTCAGGTGCTCAACCGACTGAGCCACCCAGGCGCCCCTTCTTTTCTTTTTTTAAAATTTTATTTACTTAGGGGCGCCTGGGTGGCTCAGTCGGGTAAGCGTAGAACCCAACATGGGGCTCAAACTCAAGAACTGTGAGATTGTGACCTGAGCTGAAATCAAGAGTCTGACGCTTAAACTACTGAGCCCCCCAGGCACCCCTGTGTTTGCCTTTTCTAGCCCCATGCATATGCTCTTGCATTATCTGGGCGGAATGATGAACATTTTTGTTTTTTCCTTTATTCTTTTCTGTTTAAAAAAAAAAATCCTAATAAATGTTATTTTTAAGAAAAGGAGTCTTCCTTGACACGAAACTTCCATAGCCTCCTTGGTTACGTAAATTTACACTCATCACCACCACAATACCTGCCCACCCAAATTACTAGAACCTCCTCTGGGGACTTCCCAAGCCTCACTGCTCCCTGCAGAACTGGTCACAATACAAGCTGGGGCCCCGCCTGAGACCTCCTGACCCCACCCCGGGGCACAGCTCAGCAGCGCACACTTGGGGCCACCGTGCACAGCCAGTCCGCTCGCTCCGAAAGGAAGTGTGCTGTATCCGTCTCCCAAAGGAGTTAACAGTAGAGGCGGCCTTCGGGTCAGCTCACTACCCACACACACCACGACTGTGCTTACCCACGGCACAGGCACCACCTCCTGTCGGGGCCACAAGATCTGTGAAGTAGCTGTGGGCAGAATGTGAGTCTCGAGGACGTGCAAAGCACAGGTGTCACAGGGACGCTCAAGGACAAGCTGGAACAGGCCCCAGACCACCCGCTTCTCCCGCACACACCCGCTGTAAGCTGCGCGCATATGAGCAATCCGCTGCCACGCTTTAGGCCACAACGTGTTGTTTCTCCCACCTTCCTCCAAAAACGATTTCTCCAGGCTTTTAGTCAACTTAATGGCTGTCTTCACGCATCTCCAAGTTGGGGCACGGGGTGTGGAGGACACTGAAGGACACTGAGCACTGCCTCATCACTGGCCACTCACTCGGCCTCCAGGGCTTGGCTTCCTCACCTGCCCGGGGAGGGGTTTCCTAGTGATCTTTTCAGCTGCTTTTGGAGCCAGGAACACACGCTGACGTCAGCATGTACAGGAGGGTCCAAGGCGGAGGTTAAAAACAAGTGAGGTCGTCTTCTTACATTTGTACAACACCCCCCCCCCTCCACACACACACACAGCCTGCTGACTTGGGTATAGCTTGCATATAATTCGTTGGGCTCCCAGCCATTTAAGAGTGATCTTACACCTCCATGCTCTGGGGCCAGAAACTCATTTTCTGGTTTTATGTCCATCCTCTTCTTGTTAAAGACATATTTGCCATCTGGATCACATTTCTCAGCCTGTTACTGAGGCGTTAAGTTGATTTCTGGAGGCTGAGGCTTGAACGGCTCATCCGGTGACTTCCTCCCTTGTCCACATCCCTGTGCCCTGCTTTCCCCCGATGACCCTCTGTCTTCCTGGTGGAAGACACCTCACTCCCTGCCAGGTCCTGCCATGTAGCCGGCCTCTCCTGGGGAGTGAGGCCGTGGGTGAGCGATCTGCTGGGCACACTGTGAGAGTCAGATGAAGAGAATGGCAAGGGCTGGCCCGGCCACAGGTGAGGGTTTCCTAAACCCTGGCAACGCTGGATCTTCAGTACAGTCTAAACAGACGTTGGTCCTGGGAAACAGCTCCACCCCGATCAGAAGGCATCAGGAGCGATGTTCTCCATCAGGGAAGGGGGAGAGTAAGGAAACAAAGGCAAAAATAACTTTGGCTCGTTCCCTAGAGTTCCCTTAAACGTTCTTCAAGGTAATGGGGCTCATGAGCCTCAGGGCAACATTCTAAGGTCCGTCCCCATCCCCTGTCATGCCACCATGCCCCCCACTTCAGAAAAGCTCACCTGTCCAAGACAGCCTCCAGAGAATGGATCTATTTAGTTGCTATTGTCCTTAGAGACAGATACTGCTATGAGGCAGAAATGTCCAATCTGGAAGGATGTGGGTCACATGCAGGTTAATAGTTCTTTTAAACATCAAGATCTGCCATTCTCACTTTAAATTAACTTCCATGTTTCAAAACCAATGGAAACAAGAGATTATCCTTTGAAGCGCTTCTTGTAAATGGTAGTTATATCTCTGTTTATGTGTGTATTTGCACACTACCCTTCTAGCCTCTTGGTTATAAGCTTCCTGAGCACAAGGACTTCAAAATCCAATCTGTTCCCCGGAGTGTGCTTCTAGCATGCAACTAAGAAGTGTGTGTACATCTGGGACTCAATATACATTTCTGGAATGACTGAATGATCCTTCCTGCTACTGAAAAATCTAACGTGATAGCAATAATCTGTACTAATGGCCTGTATGGGCCAATTCACTACTGGAAAAGTGTAGGTCCAAACTCTTTCCTTCCCACCATTACTCTCCTGCACACCAACTGCCTTCTCCTTACGGTGAATAATATCATCTGTTTTTCAATCCACAACTCATTCACTAGAAAAAGAAATCCAATGCGCAACTAAACATCCATTTCCCTTAACAATTTCTAACTACAGCATTCCTGACAGGTGGAAATTTCATCTTGCTTAATTAAGGCAGAGTCAACTTTCTTGAGAAATGTAACAAAACAACAAAACAGGTTAAGATTCAGGTTTTCCCTCCTGTTATGGGAAAGAGTGAGGCACAAAGGATAGAACACAAGACCTGGATCAGTATCCATCATTCACAGAGAAGGTGACAAGAGACAATCTCTCTTAATCTGTAAATAGACATGATCCCTCAAAATTATTGAGACGGTAAATTACAGTGTATGCCAAAGTGCTCTGAAAATGCTATGTGTTGTACAAATAAGTGTTATTGGTATATATCTTGACCATATCCAGCAGCATCTTTTGTTATTCATATCATAGGGAGTGGTTTTCTTTAAAAACAGTGATACGTGGAAACAAAGTGAAAGGACATGTACTGCAAGTTTAAGTTGTTAAACTTGTTTATTATAAAATAAAACTGTAGAAATCATCCTGATTTAATAACTACTTTTAGTTTTGTGAGGATTAGTAAAGGAAACGTGGTTTAGAATGAAATCTTGCCATTTGCAATGACATGGATGGAACCAGAGGGTATTATGCTAAGCGAAATTGGTCGGTCAGAGTAAGACAAATATATGACTTCACTCATATGAGGACTTTAAGATACAAAACAGATGAACATAAGGGAAGGGAAGCAAAAATAATATAAAAACAGGGAGAGGGACAAAACAGAAGACACTCTTAAATATAGAGAAGAAACAAAGGGTTGCTGGAGGGGATGTGGGAGGGGGGATGGGCTAATGGGTAAGGGAAACTAAGGAATCTACTCCTGAAATCATTGTTGCGTTATATGCT